AACTTTTATGTTACCACCATAAAAACAACATCAAACTTAATCCCCTAGTCAAACGTATTTGGTTTTCTAACTTTGGTCACGTATTTTTTTATACCAAGAAGGACCCGAAACCACAAACCGGCTGCGTAACATAGCGCCTGTTCATTTTTAATAATTCTAGAACCTGCTTTAAGGCAATTTAATGAACCTTTAATCCTTGATAATTTATGATTCGATGGGGTTTTCGAAGAATTCTTTTAAGTGTTTTGATTCTGGGAAGGTGGAGGTGATGTCACGTTTCTTAAAAAATAACTCGGGTTTTTCAGACCAGGGCGGGTCTGTTTTGAGGTGGATGTGAGAGGGGGCAAGCAAATTGCTTCTGGATTATCTTCAGTAGAACTCACATAATAAAAGTGTAGATCCCTAAATCTGGGCGAGGTCCGGAACATTTTCAAAATTGCGAAAATATGTAAAAAATTTTAAAGAATTTTTAAACTAAATTGCAAATAATTGATAAATGTAATCTAATTGTTTAAAAATAAAAATAAGTGTCAACTTTAAAAATTTACTGTGGTCGTCCTAATCAACCGATTTCAGTTTTTTAAAAACCATTTGAAAGGTTGAGCGGTCTTTTCTATTTGAAAAAATTTTCAAGGATCTAGATGCTTCATTTGAAGCTGTGCAACATTTTGAAAATTTTTTTTCAAAATTTTTTTCAAAAAATAATTTTGCGAAAACTATCGAACCGATTTTAATGAAATTTGGTGTGTTGTTTTATTATACTCTAAAGTTTTTTTTACCAAAATTGTATTGTAATGTAATCATAAATTTTTTCACTTTTGCAATGTTTACTGGATATCAGCAAAAAAATTGTGATTTCCATAAAATAACTAGTATTGGTGTTGATTTTATATAAAATCCAACACACAAAAAAGCGTAGAACTATTTCAAAAGCACGATGTAGATAGTACGCATACATTGTTAAAATAAATCCAGATACTGTGGCTGCATATTTATTTGCAATCAGCGTAAGCTTATGTTTTCGAGCAGAATTGATTAACATAAACATTGCACAAAGATAGATTGGTGCTATCAATAATAGAAATATCTAAATCCGCAGTATTCCACAGGAAGACCACGCTCTGTTGGGTTATTGTTGCTAGGAATGAGTTGTTGACATGCGAAACAATGGATCCAACAGATGAATTTATTTCTCCCTCCTCCAATAACCGATAGGGTAAATTAAATTTTCCCACGTTTCTTGTTTAAAACTCGTCAATGCAGAATATTTTTAAAACGTCACATTCAGCTTTCACACGTAACTACTTTATTGTGTTTTAGAACTACATGTCTATATTGGCGAATAAACAGTTTGTTCAAAAGAGATACAAATCTCATTGCTTTTGTTAAATGAGAAATTATCTGCGAACAATGAAAAAATGTATCATCTGTTCTGTTACAAGCTGCACTAAGTTATGAAATACATTATTTTCTTTAAGTTTGGCTCACGTAACTGTAAAGATTGTTACTTACAAGGTTAATACATCGGTCATAAACCACTAAAGTCGGGTTTATTACTTCACAATGGCTGTAGAGTGTAATGACCTACGAATTGTGGGAGTCGGAATATAATGATGTTATTTTTTACAATTTACCCACTTTTAATTGCCAGATCATGGGATTCCATGTGAATTATATGAAGTAATATGCCAAGATTTGTGCAAACATATGTTGCAAAGACGAATTACAACAGTATAGTCTAACAGAATTTCAATTAAAATGCGAAATCAGTGAAATGAATGACCATTATACGTTTCTGGATTTTCTAGATTCAAGAATCTTGCAATATTTGTAGGTATTTTTCTGAAAGTGTATGTTTTGTAAAAAATACGCCAAGGAAACTTTGTACTGGATTTTCTGTATTCCAAACTTGGAATAATGAATATTCCCTGTAGTATATTTTTAACTTTGTTGTTTTCCAACGATTCAGCTTTGTGGTTTTAGTCTCAGTCATTTGCTACATGCGCATTAAAATGAAAATTAGAAAATATGTTATTTATCAACTATGGAATAATCCTAGATAAAAACTTTATAGAAAAGACCCCTTAAAATTCACCAAAGAATATGATGTTTCATTTTTGGTCACCATTTGTGGAATCACTCTGTATATTCCGTTTATTTATATTTCCAGTGCGACTTGGTTTAAACATCCAAAAGGTTTGTCCCGCTCGTGCATCTCGCGCTGAATATAAACATCCAATATCTGAGGTTCTGCGTCGCAAGTTCTCTCTTTTTTAGGCAAAATCATTTTTTTATCTGTATATGAAATATGTTCTTTACTCAACCACAAATTCGGGTCTGTGTTCGTGACGAACCCTTTTGTGCAGCACGTGTAGAAATAAGAAATATCACTGGCTCACAGTTTTTATCAGCATGTGTTTTGATATTTATCATTTCGCGTTTTCGTGACGTTCCATGGAGCTATCAGGACGTCGTGAAATATGACCCGCGGCAAGCACAGTACAACCACAATCTTTGCTATTGTTTTAAGACGGATTCGAATTTATTTACCTGGTTTCCTCTAAAGGAAGACGAGGCGTCCGTTACAGCTATGATTTATTGCCGTATTATGGCCCACTATTTTGCCTTGGTCATTAGTTTGAGTCGCGAATTGTTCCTTGAGGACAAATAATGTTTGTACAAAGCTGTAATGTATCAAATCCGCGTGAAATATTTCTGTGTACCCAGCTCCTAAGTGTAATTTTGCATTATAAATTGTTTTGAAAGGCAGAACTTGAGTATTTTTATACGTTTGCAAACCTGTATTTAGTCGGCATATTATTACAAGGACAACCACTATTACAGAAACAGAAATATCAATGAGCGTGGACATAGTTGTATGTTTACATATTTTATTTATGTTTAAATGGCCAGCATGTTTATTTAACTGTGATCGAGTGTCAATTGCACGGATAAAATAATATAAACATGTATCAAATAATAAACAAAATCAAATAATGATAATATAAAGTTATCTTTGATGTTTTGTGACTTTAGCTTTTGAACCATTTCCATTTTTTTCTAGGGAAGTTGATCTTATATTTCGTTTCTACTATTTCATGTAGGAATTATACATGACGAACTATATATTTGATTTATTTTTTGTTAAACTTTAATTCACTTTGAGAATAGAATTCTGACAACACACATTTCTCTGTTATTGTAACAAGAAAAACAATCACACCCAATATTTTCATATTTTAGTTCAGTGGAAAGACTCTTTTTGAAATTGTGAACATTCATTACAAGTACGGAGAGTGTGTAGCCGAGACTGTGCGCAAATTATATGCAATTTTCGTTGGATTGGATGGGCTGGAAGAATTTTCACAATCTTCACTCGCTCATCCATTTTATCTAACCGCAACATATTTGGTAAACGACCACGTGAAGACAAAGAGCTTATACACACACTAATAATAGAATTCCCACTTTAGAATTGTTTTCTTGACAATCGGTGTTATTAATTTAGGCCTTTCACATGCGGGTGGATAATAATAAATTAAACAATGGAATATAAATTACAACGCAGGGGTCGTGATAATTTAATTAAATCTGTTTCGGACATGCTTTATTAGTGGCGAAGAATGATTTAACAATTTTATGAAACATTAATTGGGTGTAAGCTTTAAAATTCGCATTAAAATATACAACCGAATTAACCGGGACATCTACTTTACATCTGAAACAAATAGGTTTGTTGGTTGTTGGGGCGAAAACAGTTTTAAATATTTGAATGAAACAAATAAATATTTGGATAAATATACCGGCCTGTTTTCGAGTTTAAGCGGCATTCGGTCAATCGGTTTTAATTAAAATATCGTTTAATTTACAATAACCGTACGCCAACTGGACCGAGCGCAGCCACAGTTTTTATAGTGACCATTTTTATTTTCAAGCAATGCGATAAATGGCATAATTATATTCATTTTTCGCATTTTTACTGATAATATGCTATTTTACTAAATTCAAAATTGTTTACTAAAATGACACTTTACCACATGAAATCACTTTACTAAATAGTAATATCACTGTTAATAAAAAACAATTTGACAGAAAATTGTATATTTAAATCTTGGAAACATTGTTATATATATTAAGTAGAATGATTCAAATTTGAAAAGTTAACAACACGAAATTTATTCAATTCTACTTGTTCTTCCGGAAAACTATTATGATTCTGTGTCTGCATTTCTGAATGATCTTGAGGTGCCACTAGTTCTTGCACACCAGCTGATTGCCATCCACCATGTCTATTAAGTGTTTGAATATCAGCTCCACTGTCAGCGAGGTAGGTGGCAGACGTCCTCCTCAAGCAATGGCCAATGTAACTGGATGCATCTTTATTATACTCGTAAACAATAGGCTTAATTTTCCCTGTATGTACCACAATACAACTAGGTACCACGGAATTACTTTTGAGAGAATTTTGAAGTAAAATACAGTCATTATCACATATAACAGAGGTAAACAACTTAAAATCATGCGCACATAAGAGAACAGTAGTCAGAACTTATTTCACAAATATCATTAATCAACTTATTGAATAATTGCGGCCCAAGGACTGGACCTTGAGGTACTCCCGAAGTAGCAACAGTCGGTGTAAAACCACTGTACTGAACTTTCAATGATCTTTTATGTAGGTACGATTTAAAAATAATTAAAATAACTTACGAAGAAGAATCACGTGGTCCAACCTATCAAAGACCTTTGACAGATCTCTGTAAAACTACATCAACCGGTCCACAAAAGTCTACTGTATATGCAGTAAAATTAGTAATATTAACAAGATTTGAAACTTAATATGAAAATATAAAATATTGTGCGTCATAACCTCAAACTTATACTACATTTTATGTGGATAGAGCCCGGCTGCTAAAAATATTTTTCAGACGTCCGCCATCACGTAAACATCTTTACCGTTCCATGCGAACCGAACGATTACGTTTGTGTTTTGTTTTCAGGTACATTTGTTTCCACGGAAGACGGCTTCAGGGACACCAGGGAGGGGGAGGACGTGACGCTCGAGTGCAGGTTTCCCCCGCAAACGTCGAGGGACACTTTAACGTATTATTGGGCGAAGAAAAATAAGCAGACCCACGACAACGTCGCCATCGGCGATGTGCCACTCGACGCCAATTACAAGTGAGTATTTTCTTTTAATTTGAAATCTCCCTCTTTACCCCGTTAGGGCAAATATTCCGGTTGGTTGGTGCCCCGGCGCCAATGCCAACAGCTTGGCGCTTTACGAGCGACGTCCGGTCCGGCAGGAGCGTAATTCGGTGCATGTGTTTAGGGACCTTTTGTTCGGTATTTGGAGCTTCTTTGCCAGTTAATACATTATCAGTTTACAGTGTAAATTTTTACACTAAGCTGGAGGGTTCGAATTCATGTCAGGCAATAAGAATTGTGTGCTCACTATGTGCTAATTTGTAAATTTTGTGACATCTCTCCCCATTTTTGAGGTATTTTGAACACGCTGCGATTCACGATCGAATTTAAGATTTAACTACTCCAGATTTTTGTGCTGATTCTGTGCCAATTTGTGCCCCATACTGTAAATTTTGTGCGCTGACCATTTTTGAGGTATTTTGAACACCACAATGCCATTCTACATTAATTTTAGAAATTTTAACTGTTTTACAAATTTGTGTCCTTTCTGTGCTAATTTGTGCCGTAAATTGTAAATTTTGTGCCCTGTGCGTTTCCGAGGAATTTTGAATATGCTATGACTTACATCGAATGTAAAAATTTGTTCTAGAATTTTGTGCTGTTAAGGTATTTTGAACATGCCGTGACTCATTGATAGGATATAAAAATTCTAACTGTTTTGTGTTCATTCTCAATTTGTGCCCTATATTGTAAATTTTGTGCTTTGTCTATTTTTGAGGTATTTTGAATACTACAATGCGACTCACACAACCAATGCAACTAATTTTAAATATTCCAGAATTTTGTCATCCTGTGCTGATTGTGCCGTATATTGTAAATTTTATACTCTGTCCATTTTTGAGATATTTTTCACACAATAATCAGTCAATGAGACTTATACATCAACTCATACATACAATTTAAAAATTTGAACTGTTTTTAACATTTTGTGCTCATTCTGAATTTCTGCCCTATATTGTAAATTTTGTGCTCTGTCTAGTTTTGAGGTATTTTGAACACTACAGTGCGACTCACACATCCAATGTAACAAAATTTAGCTATTTCAGAGTGTTGTGCTATTGTGCTAATTTGTGTCCCATACTGTAAATTTTGTGCGCTGGCCATTTTTGAGATATTTTGAACACTACAATGCGACTCATACATTAATTTTAGAAATATTAACTGTTTTACAAATTTGTGCTCATTCTGTGCTAATTTGTGCCGTATATTGTAAATTTTGTGCCCTGTCCATTTCCGAGAAATTTTGAATACGCTGTGACTCAGATCGAATGTAAAAATTTTAATTGTTCCATAATTTTGTGCAGTGTTCATGTTAAGGTATTTTGAATATGCTGTGATTGTCCTATATTGTAAATTTTGTGCTCTGTCTATTTTTGAGGTAATTTGAACACTACGATGCGACTCATCCATCAAATGTAACTAAATTTAGCTATTTCAGAGCGTTGTGCTCCCGTGCTAATTTGTGCCGTATATTGTAAATTTTGTGCTCCGTCCACTTTTGAGGTATTTTTCACACAATAATGAGTTAATGAGACTTAGACATCAACTCGTACATACAATTTAAAAATTTCAACTGTTTTTAATATTTTGTGCTAATTTGGGTATTGGTTTAAACATTTTGTGCTCCATCATTTTTCGGGAAATTTACGGAGGTAAGACGTATTGTCAGCGTGAGTTGGCAAAACTAGCTGAAATGTCTTTGTGAAAATTCAAAGATCACCCTGTATATATACAAATTTAGAGCACACAATTTTTAAACCGCAGCACAAATTTACACATAGAGTGCACAAAATTATCGAACAATTATTAAATTCGACATATCAGTTGTCGCTGCGAGTTGTCAACTCATTTTAATATTCAAAACAACTCAATTGACAAAGCACAAAGTTTATAATATCCGGCACAAATTGGCACAAAATGGTCACAAAATTATAGAAGACTTAAAATATGTATAATATTTCAACTTGACGGACCTGTATCCAAATGGGACATTTGTTGCACACGAATACAAGAACCTAGGCTTTCGTGGCTTCAAAAAAAATCTAAATGTCACGTAAGTATTGCACAGAGCACGACTAACGCTAATTATACATTTAGAGTGTAATTTATCATTCCACACCAAAAGTGGTGTTAATTTCACAGTAATTTCAGAGGAAATACGGCACGACATGTTTTTAATGCAATAATCATCGTGTTTGTGTGCACTTTTTCCACAATTTATGTCAGCCATCAATCTATATTTTCCGCGTTTTAACAATAATTTATTTCGTAATTCGTTACGACGTACACACTTGTATGGGATTATAAAACGTATTAATTTTCTCAAATTGAGCGTAAATTCGTCTGCGGTTAATTTTCCATTGGCTTAATGCGAATAAATTTTACCGGTGACATCCAGGAAAACCCGGGAAAATACGATGCTGAAAATTGTCCTTCGAATTCTTCCTGAAACAAATACAAAATTGTTAATGTGAGATGTAACTCGACTATGAGTTTTCTTTATTATACAGGGCGTAAGAAGTTTGACTGTCATTACTTCAACATGAGATAGAGTAATCATAAATGAACAAAAAGAACAGTTTTCAAAATACAACGAGTGTTAACATTGGGCGCACTCGCTGGAAAACTCCCCAAGAAAAGGAAATAGTGGTACGGAAAAAACACTCCGACACGGTCCAATTCCAGATACCAACTGAATTGCGTATTGCTGGACAGCGCCGTTGCCACATTTCTCGATATTTTCATCGAATTTTAAATTTATTACAACGCTAATTATTTTTTAGAATTAAGCATAAAGAAGTTCAAAAAAGTGACAAACATTGTATTTTATGGTATTCTATACACGCAGTTATACCAATATTCCTTCATTAATCGAACTTTTATACATCAAGTAGGAGATTTTGATAAATTTTTTTGTCGGAAATGGTTGAGTTTCGGACAAATGTCATGAATATAAGGTTTATTTGTTTATTTTAGTGTATTCTATCGTCTGTTAAAATTAAGGCAGTCAAACTTCTAATACCCTGTATATAGTGAACAACAAATGTGGTAAGTATTATATGAGATGTATTTGAAAAAAAAAAAACAGTCTAACAGTGCTATAATATCATTTTTACCTTATCGGTATAAAGTTTAAATATTGCCACAGCAGATAATCACTACGATAAAAAATGTATTGTAAAGAAGTGATTAGGAATTAAGAGATGTACATATCTTTACATCAAAAATATATCAATCATAAGTTTCCTTAAACATAGAAATTTTACTTAAAATTGCACACTATATCATTGGTTATTTTGGCGTTAAATAAAGTTATATTAAACACAAACACCTGATTTTTGAAACTTTTATATTGCTGGAATAAAATAAAATTGTGTCTCTAACTGTTTCAAAAGACACATACTTTATAAAATGCATTGAAAAACGTTACGTAATGTACTTGTAACAATTTTTGCATAAAATATCTTGTATATCAAAATATAAGTAATACAAAAAAAACACATATGTGATATCTTAAAATTGTTAAATAATGCAATCTTTCAAAGAAATATCCTGTATTCTTACAACAGCAAGCAGTTATCACTACTGTCAAAGACTAATCACATAAAAAACAGCTACTACAAGGGGATATTCTTGTTTCTGTGTGAGTTGATACTACAAGCGAGATGTCATCAGCAGTGGTATATTTGATGCCTCAGTTATATTGGTTATTTTGGCGTTAAATAAAGTTATATTAAACACAAACACCTGATTTTTGAAACTTTTATATTGCTGGAATAAAATAAAATTGTGTCTCTCTAACTGTTTCAAAAGACACATACTTTATAAAATGCATTGAAAAACGTTACGTAATGTACTTGTAACAATTTTTGCATAAAATATCTTGTATATCAAAATATAAGTAATACAAAAAAAACACATATGTGATATCTTAAAATTGTTAAATAATGCAATCATTCAAACAAATATCCTGTATTCTTACAACAGCAAGCAGTTATCACTATTGTCAAAGACTAATCACATAAAAAACAGCTACTACAAGGGGATCTTTTTGTTTCTGTGTGAGTTGATACTATAAGAGAGGTGTCATTAGCAGTGCTATATTTGATGCCTCAGTTATACTTTGGTAGGTGGTTGACCTCTAATAAAAAAATTAGTGGCCTCAGCACAGATCCCTGCGGTACTCTATATGACACACAAAATTAATATTATCAATTCTAACGGCCATAGATCTATCGGACAAATAATAATGCACTGTCGTTCTAAACCCAATATTGCATAACTTATTTGCATTGTTCTTGGTTGTCACAGAACTTTGCTTTAAAATTGGATCTTACACCAAAAAATCGACTTTATATGTCTGCGAATCGCGTAGTTTTTCCACTTTAAACATACATACGTGCATCAATGCTCCCCCAGTTTTGACAAGCAAGTGTGGTGTTTCATATTATACCTTCATGTACATGAATATAATGAGCACTGTACTGTACGGGAAAAGCAAACCTCAAAAGCTTTTGAGCACGCTCTTTACTTACCCTCCATTGCATGAAAAACTTTGCGATTCCTTCCCTTGTCTCAACGTAATGGGGCAATGGAATGGTAAGAATCGCCGGATTGTGTTTAAAGGATACACAATCCTCTTTTTGTGCTGATTTTTATTAGAAATATTACTCGCGAGGTATTGCTTTATACAACACATCTCACGTAGAGTATTGTACTTCTGATGAATGGCGCAGAACGTGATAGAAATACGATACCACCACTATCACAGGAAACACTTCGCACGCTGTAAGGGAATTTATCGAATTTCAATTCGTGATTAATGAAGCTTATTTTCTTTCAAGGAATATGCACCGGTGGGTTAGACTGTTGAGATGTTCCCAAGGTTTCCATTTCCTTTTTGCATAAAATATGATGTAGGTGCGTGCCGTCTCAAAAATCATGTACAACGTATTACAATCTTGCATTAATTGACTCCTTGCGACTGAAGGGGAAGATCAACATTATCCAGTATACATTTAAGGAATATTTAATTCCTGCTATATATTTTTGTAGAGTCGGAATTGGCCTTGAGTTTATTTGAACTATTTGTGTTAATTATAAATATACAAGAGTGGAAAGGCGACAATGTTGTCGTGTAACACGTTATACTGATACAACAGGAATTGGAAAATTACCCTTTTTTTATTCAGATGAAAATTAGGTAAAGCAAATTTAACGGAGTCTCATACAATATTAAAGGCGTTTTAGGGCCCGCTCACAATCTGGAGACATAGTGGAAAAATCGGTCTCGTAAATCTTGAAAAAGTTACAGTATTAACACAAGTAAACTTAAACGGTGCTCATGAATTTTTCGACCGTATTTGCATATCTTAAGAAATAAATCCATAAAATGGTGATACTAAATTAAAAATAATTGTATGAATAATTAATTTTTGGTTGTACTGTTGTAGGTACAACGAAAAAAGCAAATTTCCTTCACACCTTTTTTTGGCTAGAATAATTTATAAATAATGAAACTACTTTAATTTAAACAAACAAGGAGATTATGTTTCAGCAATAATTTTATGAATATACCGAACTGAACTAATTTGGCAACAAATATCCTTTAAATTTATAAATTAATGGTTGAAATATTTTTACAAATTCTGTTGATTCTGGGGCAATATTTTGCATTAACATAGGTTCAATGATTTTTTAACGTCAGTGAATTGAGTTTTATCTTAATTACTTTAGGTTGATACGTTTCTGATTCATTCGGTATTATTTTTAATGAATCTATAGTATCTACGTTTATTACTTCCTGTTTATTTATAATCTCATCATAATTTTTGTGTAGACAAATGCTTTTAGCGTTATTCATAAAATTGTTATTACAAGTTGTTATTGTTGCTTCTTACTTATTGAAAATAGTATCTGCTAAGTACTATGTAGTGATTTATTTATAAATATAATCCTTCCTTACAAGCAAGAACATCTGACATATCACAGTTGACGTGTTATGTTTTGTTGTTAAATCTTGGGGGTGCAATTCAATGTTGGGTGAGGCTTTAGTCCGCGGGGTAGTTGTTTTCGAGAATACTAGTTAAAAGTCTAAACAATTTAGCTACCATAGGGACATTTATTTTTAAACGAGAAAATTGTAACGCCATGCATCAAAACGGCTTAAAAATAACATCAAAATCCTCGAATCGGCTTTAGAAGCGGTGAAAGATAATAAAACAGCTAAAAAAATTTGTCAATCAATGTATACAGACAGAATATCTTATAAATAATAATCTGTCAAAACGGCAATGGAATGCAACATACGTCGAAGTTGTTTCAGATTGCATACAATTTTTTTAAATTAACTCACATATTAAAATAGTTTTCAAATAATCTCAAAAAACACTAAAAACATGGCAATACTTCGAAATAAAATACTGGGGTCTAAAATAGGCCAAAATCGTAAATATAAATAAGAACAGTTCTTTAATTTCTAGACGACATTTGGGAAATGATTCTCTTTGTCAGGATTATTAAAATGCCCCTAAAGGTCTTGTAACTTAGTGGGTAGATACACGGTATTATTGATATTAGCAGAGTTATGGAAGAAATCATCTTCCTTTTGCAATTTTCTACACAGAAAGAATATAGCGACAGACATACGAACGGATTTTTCAGTTTTAGACCTCCGACAAGTGGCGGCTCTTCCAAAATAAAATTTAGATACAAAATATCGAAAAAAAATCAAATGTAACTAGATAGTTTTATTTTAAGTATAAGAAATATAAGGAAAATGTACTCAACTTTATTTTTTATAGTGAAAGTCCCTTCTGCTTTTGTCCGAAACAAACTTTTCAGTTAATTTTTCATTAAAGTTTGGTTTTCTCGCACCATTGATTTTTCAATAGATGGAATTGCAAGTGCTATAATCAATTTAAACTTCTACATCATTTTTTTAAAATACACACAAGAAACAATATGTAATGAACAAAATTTTACACCACACCTGAACAAGTTTCGTTTATTAAGAAAAAAAGCGATGAATAGCTATTATTTGGTTACGGTCGGACCAAACAGAGCCCAACTTGCATAGTAAATATGCGATACTCCCACTCTGTCTTTCATTGCTACGCGACGGTAACCACGACCACCACTGTAAATACTTTACAGATGTTGAGGCGAGCTACCAGGAGCCCACGTACTCAGAGCTTCAACATTTCCTTTTTAATGTGTTTCATAAGGCTAATCAATGTAATTATGTAGATAACATTCTAGATTTTAAATTAATTTTTTTTACTACTAACATGTCTAGGGGGGCGGTGCCCCAGAGCTCCCCCGCACCAGCCGCCGCCGCTTCCAACATAATGTGTAACCCCACGTCGAACAAAAATATCACTTTCTTTTGTTTCATTTGAAATCAATTACACGGTATTTCCATTGCCCGGGGCCGTGTACTTTTACAGGTACACGTTTAACGCTGCCGGTGCATTACGGCGCGCACACCCCGCAAAATGCGACAAACAATCCTCCCCAATTAATCCCTATTTTAACATTTAGCATTTTTAGCATTTTAACCCCCGCATCCGTTTTACAGGTTGAATTATCAGGTGGAGAAGGGTATCTACGACCTGCTGATTTCCAATGCGAGCTACGACAGGGACAACGGCAAATTTGAATGCAAGGTCAAGGCGGGGGGATCGGGGGCCAACCTGCACGTCCAGAAGTACACCCTCACCGTCCTGACCGCGCCACAGGAGCCCGCCATCGCCCCCAGCTCGCACGTCACCGTCACCGAGAGCAAGCGCCAGGAGCTGACCTGTTCCAGCATCGGCGGTTCCCCGGATCCGCAAGTCAAGTGGTACAGGCAAGGTGAGTAGCTGTTACGAGGGGGCGGTCGAGGTACTCAGAAGTATAGAAAAAAAAAACGAATTCAGAAAGAAACAGTTTTACAGCATCATTATGTTCTTGACATGTCTTGACAAGTGTTGACAAGTCTTGACAAGTGTTGACAAGTCTTGACAGGTCTTGACAAGTCTTGACAAGTATGGTATGGACATGTTCAGAATCTTTATCACTTTCTTCTAAAGTAGTAAATGATCCGCACAATTTCTAAATTTGTAATTACATCTCACTCTAGATACTAACTGCTATGCAGTATACAGTAGATTTACTGTTTCCTAACTATTTTTTCTTTTTAAAATTATTTTGATACAGCGAAAATTAAACATTGTTAACTATGTGTATAAAATCGAAACAGGGAAAATTCATATTTTCATTTCCAATCCGAACGAATAGAAATGGGGTATTATTAAAAAAGCTCCACTGTCGCAATATAAGTATCACTATCGTATTTTAATGTAGCTGTAAGTTCAGTAACAGTTTATAATTAAAAATAATGATCAATACATCATGTTCTGTTTATCAGAAACACATTTTTGTTTATCTATTAAAATATGGTTATTTGTTTAAGTTCATATGCTCCGAATCGATATAAATCTCGATGTTGTGACGTTATTATGACCCGCACGTCAACAAGATTAATCACTATTTAACTAATTTAGGTTTCTTCAGTTCTTCGGTTGTGTGTACGACACAGGAAACTGTTGACGTACATTATCTCTCTTGCCAGTGGGCCATTATTTTTGAACATATGAAGGGATAAGAAAAACAAGTTAAGCTCATAAATACGGCGCTGAGAGACATTAGGATGGCCGTGTTGTGATGTGGTTTTCCGCAGGAAGTAAAAAATATTTTTTAGTTTCTTTTACTCTAATTCATTGACTATTTGGTATACAGGATGTCTCAATATTCCGTGAACGTACGTGTACGTGCTACCTGTGATCAAAGTAAGCAGATTTAACTAAACTTACTTCTATTCTGAGTTGGTCTTAGTAGCTACTCCTCGATTACAAACATTTATAGCCGCTGCGGCTGTATCAGACATCGCTATTTTTATTTCTGAAGGAAAACCTGATGTACATCATCTTATATAAGTAGCTTTCACAAAGCGGTCGATGTTGTCTTGTATTTTATTTATTTCCACGTATTAACCATACATTTCTTCCGGCTCGGCAAAACCTACGACACTTAAGTTTTCCGTTTGTTCTTCGCTCTAGTTTTATCTCCGACAGGGGAAAAAACAGGGTTGTTTTAAAACATGTTTTACGTACTTAGCGGCGGAGCGCAAACTCTCGACATACATCTAACACCCTTACCCCGATAAGATAAGGGGGCGAAGCGTCGTCTGTCGGTGGGGATTACCTAGAAACTAGCACGGCGACGAAGAGGGTATTGATGGCGGTGATATAACGTCCAGGAGAAACATTGCAGTTTAGTTGTCATTAGTGTTACTAAACGCAGTGGCTGATTTTGATAGTTTTAAGTATTATTGTTACGGTATTTTCATCACTAGAGGTTGAAAAAATAGCACCAGAAAATACGCAATGTCTTGTTGGAAAAGGAGTCAAAATTATCTTTTTTGTATAAAAACATGTATAAAAACGCCTAGCAATAAAATACAATGAGGTTCATAGGCGTCCCTAAAGGAGTTTTCTGCTAATGGTAAAAAATAATAATAATAATTTGTATATAATGTGTAGAAAATGTCTTTATATGTTCCAACAACATATTTTAATTATTTATGTCCTCAAACAATTTTATTATATTAATAGTTATGACATATCAAAAAACGTTTAAATTTCCATTAAAATATATTACTGTTCGGCATTGCTGCACTGCACTGCTAGGCAATTTGTCAACAAATGAAATTTATGGCCGGTCGCCCAGTGCGGCTGTGTTTCTGCGCCGTTTGTCCGGGCGCGCATTCTTCAACTGGGCGTATACATTTCTACCACGTTTAGTTCGACCAGACCTGTATGTGGGTACGGCTAAATAAATATGGGAACAAGTTTTTCAAATATTTCAATGCCGAGTTGCTGCGTAGCGACTGAACCTAGTGCATACTGCCTAGCTCTTTGGTCTTCAATTGAAAGTGACCTTGAAAGTATTTAATTGAACACCCCACTTTTTATACCAGCTATCGATAGAGCCCCAAATTGTACGTCAGAATATGGGGTTAAATAATTTTTCCCGAATGTCATCTCTAGGTCAAGCTCATTTTCCTCCGAACAACTCGATAAATATGTTCCGAGTTAAATTTGTTGGAATTTGAATGACAAATTAAATGGTGACCTTGGATTTGAAATTCACTAGCTGCAAGGTCACCTTAATATAAAATGGAATACTCTATTTTTTATGCTAGTAACCGATATAGCGTCTAATTTTATGCCGAAATCTGAAATCAAGGAATTTTTCTAGGATGTCCTTGAGGCCATTTGAAGGTCAGACACATTTCTGACGAAAAACAACTATGATCTTGATAACAATTTTGAAATTTAACACATTTTTAGGTTTATAATGAAAATTTGATGATTCCAAGCAGCTGTTAGATCAATTCCAAGGTCATGATCTAATTTGGCAATTAAAAAAATATTCTAGTTCCATATTCGGACGTAAAATTTGGAGCTCTTTCGACTGCTGGCGTAAAAAAATAGACTGTTCCATTTAATATTGTCAGGTCGACCTTGGTTTGACCTTGACGCTTAACTTAAAGGTCAAATCCAAAGTCATTAGCATATTAGCTTTTTGATTTCATTTTTTTCTGGATTTGTATTGTTTGTCTACATGTGAACTATCAGGTCTAAGGTGCGTTTATTAAATTTTTCACGTCACTAAGGTCTAGTAACTAATAGACCCAAATAGGTTACACAGGGTGTATCTAAAGTCACTTGTTTATGATCCATTTAATTTCCAGAATTTATTCAACACCAGAAAACTCAATCTCATGCGAGGGAAACTTTCAGCAAATATGATATACAAGCTCGTTAACACTTCCGTGTTGGAAGAAACGTATATCTTGAAATTATTTCATCAGAGTAACGTATACCAACATTAATACGATTCAGCACGCATCAGCAATAGCCGCAAATTCAGAAGGACGAGGTGCTAAACTTTTGGGGTCTATGAAGTTCTCAGAGAAGTGACACGGGAAGAGAAAAACTTAACGCATGTCACAAACAGCGCTTGTTTTTTTGGAGGGGGTACATGCGTGAGGGATATAAATTCCCGGAGGACGTGGTATAAATTAGAAGTTAAACGAGAATTACTTTCGTAGCGACGCAGGCCGCGTAAATATTTCACGCGAGATGGAACTTTTCATGAGTCGCCTCTGTGTAGGTAATTTTTGCCTGCCGTTATCTTCAATATGGTCTGTATATACAGGGTGATGTCATTAATTTTAAGGGAAGTTAGGGAAAAATGAGAGGAATACGAGTATACGATTAAAAAAAATTAAATGCATATTTACGCTGAAAAATAATGTTTTCAAATTAGTATTTAAACCCCTTTCCGAACCGCTTTTGACCGCTGACCCACAAAGGTTTATCGAGAGTGAATCTTGGCCTACGGTATTTTTCGGTCACTAACCTAGTTTTTATTGCGTTTTTAATACTTATTTAAAATGCCAATGTGGCTAAAATAACACTCATTCGTCCATAGCACTTTGTTAATAAAGTTAGGATCCTTGCACCTTGATTTTGATTGCAAAATTCAATACGACTGAGGAAATCAGCAGTTTCACTTCAACGTTCAATCGCCCGACTAGACCAAAAATTTTTATTTTTCTTTTTGAATTATCCAAAATATCTACAATTTGTTCCGTGTTAAAGATATTGTCTGAACTTATTTATTTGTAGCATAGCTTTTCCTCTGTTTGTTGGATATTTTGTCGCCTGTGAAAAAATTAAATATGTAAATCCGTGTAAATTTATTTTACGGTGAATATTCTTGAAAATTCAGCAGGATTCCCAGAGCATTGATTTTCATTATTAGATTTTTTACGAATTTCAATTCATTTTTAAAAATATCATCTGATGAAATCAATTTCTCTTAGTCATGTAGACGTGTAAATACAACATAGTTTTCTCCAAAAGGATCATTACATAATTTTGGCCATAGTGATGACTCTTTAGCCAATCTTGATGATAAAATTCATTGTTTAATTGAAATGTTTTTATGCATAAACTTACCAACTATATTTTTATACATTCTATATTTCAGTTAATTCCATTTTCCAGATTGTATCGTTTCCTGGTCGATTTTTCATAATATTCGATGTTTTATCTTCCGGTACATTATTGAATACTTACTAATAAATAATTAGTACTTATTAAAATTACTTAAAGAAAGTTTTTCCAGTATATTTCATAGGGATAATTAATGAATCTACAGGTCTTAAAGGGACATATGAATTTTGAGTAAATCGTAAAATAGTTTATTAAGTTGACCATAATGTGATTTAATTTTTTATATTCTTCATTGATTTGGCTGGATCTTTATTCCATTTTCTATAATTTCCTTCATTAATTAAATTAGTTATTTTTATTTCACAGTGTGTTTGGTCTAGAAAAACTGTACCTTTATTTTTAATATCATTTTTAATTAATATTCTTCTTCTTCTTCTTCTAATGATATTATTCCTAACCACACACTTTTGTCATGTTCAATTTGTGATCCAATCCTGTATTAATTAGCTAAGTTCAGTAGCAACATTTGTGCAGTTGTTTTTGTCGAAGAGAAAAACAAATAAACCAAGCCTGTCAAAATTTAATTGAAATAGAAATGTCATAAGTTTTTTAATAACGACAAAAGATTTTGAATTATTTTGAACACAATACACATTTCTGTTTGTTTATTTTTTATTAATCTAATGTTATGTTCTTGCCAAAACGGCATAATAATAGTAATATGCCGCCCCCTCTTCCGCACAAGTATCCGACTCCTGTCGGGCCGTTAATAGCAAAATTTCCCGT